TTTCTCCTGTAGAGTGAGTACGTTTACAAACATACAAGTACACATACACATGACACCCAGACGCAGAACAACAATCTGAGGATCACACAAAGAGCTGTTCCGTGCGGGAATCCAACCCGCGACACGTTGCGGTGCAGCCACTTGCTCAGCCACCGCGCCAACCGTGCAGTCAATTTTTGTTTATAAGTATTAATCTAAAACTGAACGACATAGTAAGTCGGCTACAGTGGATTCAAATCTCAGTTGTATCATTCATTTTCTGAAAGTTATCCACGTTTTGATAGCTTTACTTAGCCAGTTTAAAAAATAGGTACAATCGTGATGATGTCAAGTTACATAGACACTGCAAGCAACCTGAAATGCATCACTGCTGAAACTGAATAACTGATTATTTAACTCATATAAAAACTTCATCTTCAGTGGCTTTCTTATATACCATTTTTCAGTCTCAAATGTAATAAAAACTAAAACACGACACGATTTTTTTTTTGTAACGGTCAATCGGTTCGGAGTTGAAAAGAATCGATTTCAGTATCTTACCGAGTTGTATAATAGTGGTAACTCGATAAACCGATTGTTCACGAGTGTTATGTAAAAGTGAGAACCAGATCACCAACATACAAATTGGTAACATTTTTATTTTCAGATTTTCAAAAGTAGATATGTAAAATTTCTTTTTAATAAACTACTTTTCAAAAAACCGACTGTAACCCTATCTTTTTTTGAAGTCGGTTAATTGGGATGATGACAGGGTATGAAAATTAAAAATATAATTTGTCCATAAGTTAGGTAATGAAAAAATATTAGAAATTAATGTACCAGACGGACATTAAAATAAAATTTAGAAAACTGCCCTTTAAGCTTTTGTCAAATGTCCAGTGTCAATCCCAATTATCTAAGAGGACCTGATAAGGTTTCATAATCTGAGCTCTATTGGATTTTTTCGGTACGTTAAAGATGCTGGTTTCTAGTCTTATATTGGACCCCGGAACTGCGGCAACCTAATGGATTACCGGGGCTCCGACTCATAGCAGGAGAAGGAACGGGGTGGTTTTTAGTCAGTAAGAGTCTAACTCTCTGTCTCGCTTTAGTCAGAAAAATCATTAGATGGTTCCATGATTTCCCCCTTTAAAAAAGACTAATTCTGGACATCTCAGTTTTTTCCAAAAATTATTCATGAGCAGGACTCTACTGAGCGTGATGACTCTGTTGAGCAGGACTCTTCGCATCAAACTCCTTTATCAACAGAGTTAATGATATCAACAATGTGGCTATTTTTTATGGGATTAGCCGGTAAACGAGCAGACGGATGATCTGATGGTAATCGGCGTCGCCCATAGACATCGGAAACACCAGAAGCCTTACGAGGTGCGTTACCACTTTCGGAAATTGTGAATTTGAGGATTGTAGGGGATTTAGGTGTATTGAAATATTCTGGGTATTAACAAATACTATCTGTAATTAATGAAAATTATTGATTATGTTTTCGTAATAAGCATCATCATCGAAAAATGTAATAAATCAATACTGCGTAAAAATATATCTTTTCTGTAAAATTCTTGTTGTTATATCAATACTTTTAAGCAAAATAAAATGTTAACTTACATTCATATAATGTAACCTCAATACTTTTTCTTGTACCTAATGTCGAAATAAAGTGACATAATCGTTTATTTACACTTGCTTGGGAACAATTTTATTTTAAAACAGTTCTTATACTAAATTAGACTCGATTACATAAGGTTACTTCGATTGAAGACATAACATGAAAAGTTTTATATAATCTAATTGATATTTACACAAATTGCTTCGACACTTCACACTTGAATGGATGCCATCTTATGTGCTTGCAGCGCGGTATCTCTTTTTAACTATTTCCTTAGTATTCGTGGGTTTTATAATTGAAGTACTAGGATGGCAGAATTTAAGAAGTGTTCTTCACAACGCTAATGGGATTAATAACACAACTTACCAAAAGAAGTAAATATAATCTAGGCACTCCTGCTGGCTATTATTCATCAGTGTTCTATGTCTACCATAATATACTCAATGTTTCTCATTGCATTTATCATTAGGGCCATAATATACTTACCTACTACACATGGCATTTACTAAGTACATACTTACCTCTGATAATCATCATGATGATAGCCGCCAACATCATTAAACACATTTCTTACAATTTCTGCGCTCCTGGTACTTGCGTGACGCAGCAACCAGTTATTTTACCGGTTATTTTAACTAACTAGTTTATTGTAGTTTAATGTGTAGATTAATTTAATTAATTTGCAGTTTAACAATAGATCATTAGTTAAATTTGACTATTGATTATCGTTTAAGTTTTAAATTAGTCATCGTGCCCTTCGTTAAGGTAGCGTATACATTGTGTGGTCTCCTTAAACTAAGGGACCACCTTACAGTTACATATTAGTATAAAATTTTATAGCTCTTTTAACATATCAATTAGGTTACAGATATAAACACGAAGAACAATATACTTACGATAGCTTAGGTAGGCTAAGGTGAATTTTAATACTAAAGAAGATACAAGAAGGTGGTAGAAAAATCACCTATCCTTTCATTATAATATTGCCTTACCAAGTAAAAAAATCCTATAATACACATCAGTTCAAAATACAATCAACGTTATTCAATAAATAACGAAGTGTGACACAAAAATACCATTGTACTAAAAAATTCTACTATAAGGGCCGACTTTTCTACCATCAGTTAATTCTAAACTGTAGAATAAAATTATAATTTGACAGTTCTTAGTATGGAAGAATTGTCAAATGTTCAAAGTTATTCTTCAGTTAAAATTTATCTAGCGTTGGAAAAATGGGCTTTAATAATAACACAATTTATATTAACGTTTTTAATTACATACATCCTTACTAATATTATAAATCGAAAAGTGAGTTTGTATGTTTGTTCCGACTTCACGCCGTAACTACTAAACCGATTGCATTGAATTTTTGCAGACGTAAAGATGAAATAATAGGGTACTTTTTATCCCGAAAAAATTTGATTATCCCGAGGGAAAACAAAAGTATTGGTATAGATGGCGCTGTATGTTTTGTTATATGTCACATAGGCTACTTTTTATCCTTTTGTGACGCGAGCGAAGCCGCGGGTAAAAGCTAGTTCAAATATAAAAATTGATCATTTTCAATGCTGTTGTAAAACTGTTCTTGATTTAATTTTCCAATTAAATTTCCAATCAATTTCTCAGATATGGAACCCACGTTACCATAAGTACATCGACCGCATAGAAAACATCCAAAGACGTTTCATTAAATATCTCTGTTTTCATCAAAAAATTCCATATCACCCTGTCGATTATCTTCGACTCTGTAAGAAATATCATTTATTACCTCTCAAAGATCGACGTGAGATTGCCGACTTTTTGTACGTATTAAAAATCTTAAATAACAATATTGACAGCCCCGAACTTCTATCTAAATTTCACTTTAATGTACCACAAAAAATATTCCGCAATAACCCACCCTTACGTGTGCCTCTAGCATCAACAAATTACAGACAGAATAGTTTTATTATACGAGCGGGTGGACAGTTCAATAATATATGTAAGCAGTATGACTTTGATCCCTTTGCGACTAGCGTGGCGTCGGCCAGAAGGCGCATGAGCCTCAGGTTTTTTAAGTAGCATCTCAATTGTATCCCTAGTTTTCGGAAATGTTTATATTATTTTTATCTTTCACTTATTCTTGTAACTAAAAGTTTCTATTTAATATTAGTTTCTAGTTGATCCTTGCAATTAACTGGTATAATAAACTGTACAATTTTAATAAGCTGTAACCACTGCGAAAATTGTGATATGCTCACCTAACAAATTTAAGTCTGTCACTATACGTGAGGACTTGTAATTGGCTTTCAGTAGTTTATGTTCACTTCTATTTTTATGTAGTTTTAGCTGTAAGTCCTCCAGGGTGTAATAAATAAATAAATAAATAAATAAATAAAGTTCTGCAAGGATATTCCGAAGATTTTTCCTAAAACTTTTGTCCAATTGGAACCTTTGGGAAGCCGTTCTCCTTAAAGCCCAGATTCAGGGTCCTTCCTTAGGGTTCTATTTCTTTTCCATTCCATTCCATGCATGTTCCATTCCTTAGGGTCGAGATTCTTTTTCTATCTCGCAGTGTCATTGGTTCTTACAGATACGTAATTAGTTATCATTGTACGTACCTACATATAAAACTAATTTGTTGGCCAGATAGGAGCTCTTCTTGTTAAGTGGCGTTGCTTTGTTGAGCCTAATATTTGGCGCCACGACCGAAGTTGCGACTTGAAGATCGGCTTGACCTGTGCCGTTTATATAAGCATTAATTATGCTTATTATGCAACAACCAGATTTTTAATACAATAGATATTGTGACACTTTTCGGGATAAATTTTCATTTTAATCGGTTTTATTTTTTAATTAATTTCATAAAGTTTATGTATTTTAAGCTGATGTGTATTTATGTCAAAGCAATAATGCTAAATTAACAGGAGTTTTCGAGATAACTAGGATTAAATGTTAGATTTCATCTACTACAACAATGAACAAATCATGAACCCTATAAAATCACTAACGCCATCTGTTATCGAATAGCTACACTATTTAGTAACGCCATCTATTATCGAATAGCTACAATATTTAGTAACGCCATCTGTTATTGAGTTGCCGAAGTAATGCGTGTGATTAAATTATTGTTCACAAAAGAAAATTCCTACAAGAAATTAATATTGATATAATTTTTTTGTTCAGTTAGCATTTGATTCCTAAACTTCTTAAATAAATAATTAAACTTTACCTAAACTAAACATTAAAGATAAGACAACAAAACTCACAAGGTACAAAACCCTTTGTTTTTGTGAACAACATTGTGAACCCAACTAGTACAAATCTCACAAGCGAATTCATAGATGGCGCAGTTATCAAAAAATAAACCATAAAAGACTAAAATAAAAATCAAGTACTTTGTTACAATATTTATTCATCTATTTCCACTAATATAAGCTATAAAGCTCTCCGTACTGTCACTGTCATCTTCTGGATTTGTCCTGTGGGCAAACATCTCCGTGCTCCTATCATTCAACATAACTTCGTGCAAAGCTAATGTTCTTAATAATTTATCCGTCTCACAGCCGTCACCATTGTCTATTATTCTATCATTAATCATATTTGTAAGGTTTATTTCATCTATCATTTTATCATCAAGATTACTCACATTTAACGTCTCATAATCATTCGTCCTTCTCGTATGGAAACCAGCTTCTTTCAGTTTCTTTTTGGCTAGTTCTATGAATGTTGGCGACTTGAGAGTCTCACGCAGCCATGTTTTGATTTTGTTTTTCTTATCTTCTACTCTTGCTTTGAATCTGTAAAACAGGAGTTTGTAATTAGATAGTGACTAAGGTCAATCTCGAATAAATGAATATTAAGTGGTTTTAAAAGGTATAGCCCGGCAAACAAGCAGATGTATGGCGCATGTTTTGCAATCAGCGCCATCTATGGATTGGCCACCAACAACACTGAGTAGTTACAAGTGCGTTGCCTGATTTGGAGATTTGGGGCCCAGGGTACGATACATCTTTCTCTACTTACTTCTGCAATTCCTTTTCCCTTTGCCTAGCTTTCTGTATCTTGGGCAACAGTTCAGGTACTGTGTTGGCTTCGTTATTGGTGATGGTGTCTTCCACCCACTCGGTGATCTCGGACACTCGGCTGTAGACTCCTGGGGAACGGGGGTCACCACACTGCTTGCCACCGAAGGAGACAATGCCGAGGAGCACACCGTCTCTCACTGCTGGACCACCGGAGTCATGCTGAAGATGGTTAAAGGAACATAAAATGTTTGTTTTACATTACCAAATTCATCGCATGCGCCCCCGTTCCTAATAAAGAAACAGAAGTTTAGATGAAAACATCTGAACGGAGGGCTTTTTCAATTGGGGGCTGGCCGTGGCATATTGCTGACTTGCCACCCTGTACTTACGCCACTAGTTACAGGAGGTGTTAAAAAAAAAATGTAAATTTTTCACAATGATAATAAATACGGTACGTAATAAATAAATACCTAGGTAGGTACCGTACTTATAACGAATTTTGTTTCATTACAGACTTCAAAAAAGGAAGAGGTACTATCTACCTCTAGAGGTATAGTCGGTGCCATAAGCTCATATCATAATAATATAACTTGATGGCCACAAACTTGTAAATTAAGTATCTATTAAGGTTATAATGAATAATTTTGTATAAAACTTATGGCACCGACTTCTAACCTATCAGTGGGTGGGTAACCTATCAGTACTAATAATAGTTATTTTTTGCTTTTCAGTTTTCACTTTTATTTTTGTTATAAATTTTTTACTTTAACTCTCTATTATGAATGTATCATCAACTTGACATATTTCACAATACTCTTTCATGATGAACATTTTCATTATTTTGGTTACAGGTTTGATCCTTTCACTTCTTAACAGCGTGGAATGGTCGCTGAGAGACTGAGTTGCTGGCAACCTGTCTACAGTACGTAATGGTAGCCTACAGCATTTAAATCTTGCTTGCATTAAGTGCCGTACTATGCACTGCTGCCTACCCCATTGGGTGGCATTTGTTAACAATTGAAATGTATTTCCATTGTATTTCGGTAGTATTATTATAACTATTAGTACTTTCCCTACTGACGTCGATGCGGACGAATTTTTCGATGTAAATAGTGTTTTTTAGTTTTCTTCTATTTAATTTTTATCTTTTTGTTTCTTAAGTTGTATATATTTAGTAATAATAAGTATTTATTTTATTTGTTTAGGTATATTATTTGTAAATATAAGTGAAACAACATTATTATAACTTTTATATTAATCATCGATACTTACATTGCAAGCGTCTTTCCCTCCGGTAGCGTATCCAGCACACAGCATCCGCGGCGTGATGTAGAACCGGTACGATTTCTGACAGTCCTCCAGCCGCATCACTGGCACCGGGACGAACCGTAACCGGTCCGGAATGTGACCGTAACCGGATTCCTATTACAAAATAATGTGTTTATTTGAGTAAGTAACATATTTATTTACTTCTCGCGGAAGACTTAACGGGTAACCGGGGCTCCGGCTCGAAGTGCAGGAGTAGGAACGGGGTGGTTTTTAGTCAGTAAGAGTCTGACACTCCCTCCCGCCTCACCAGGGCGGGAGAAGTCATTGGATGATATTCCCACCTCAAAAAAAAGCCTGTAAGTGGCTACTGTTGGCCAAAGGCCTCTTAATTAACACACGGAGAAGGTTTAAGCATCACCACACTTGCTCATTGCGGGTTGTCGATTTAAAACTTACCTATAATTACAAATTATAAGCCCAGGTTTCCTCACGATGTTTTTCTTCACCGTTTATCAGTGGTATCTAATAATCTTAGAAAGAACATTTAACTCGGAAAAAGTTACATTGGTACTTGCCGTTGGTAGGTTTTGTACCTACCGCAGGTGAGTTCGTTCATTCGAGTACCCAGTGACTCTCTCATTGTTTTCTGGGATTGACTGTGTGGTTTTAGTCGGTAAGAGTCCGACATAACCTGATGTCTGACGCTCATTGTCCAGACAAAGGGTATAAATTGCTTTTTAGCTCAAGATAATGGTAAGGTTGGGTCATAGCGTTTCTGGACGTAAGTGATAACCAGTATAACTCACATCTGTACTCCCCCAACCTGTGACGATGAGGATGTCACTCTCTTTCATCATGTAGTCCTTGGAAGGCAGATTCAGGACTGCAATGTTCCGTCCAATGGGCATGGGCCGGTCTAAGCGAAGTAAGGAGTAGTCGTAGTCTGCATTTCCCGGCACATATTCGTGAGGGAAGAACACCTAGAAATTAGAAGTTTGTGTTCTCAAACAGATTTTGAAAAGATACCTGAAAGCCAAAAGAGTAATACGTGACTAGATGTATCGTATATGACGATTAAAAACGTTTTAAGAGTTTTTTTTAAGTTTCTTAATAATTTATAAGCAACAAAACATTTGTCATCACCTATGGTACCCGTGGGTGTTGTAAGGCCCGACTAAGGTACTAGGACTACATAAGTATTTGACAGAGTGTATGTTACGACGATGGTGAATACCTTATTGACCCGTGCTTGGTATCCTCCACGGTTGTGGAAGGAGCTGCCAGCTCTGATGATAAACGGCTGCAGCTTTCTCTTGTCGCCATCAAAGGCTCTGCAAAGAATGATCAAACAACTACATCAAGCAGGTCAGTAGATACCTAATTTATTACAGTAAATAAAATTTGTTTTTGGTCAGATATTTTATCAAATGGAAACGAGAGAGTTCAGATTTTGAAGGCACTTGACAAAAAACTAGACTCAGTTACATTTAGTATTTGGAACATTGAGCTTTAGAAACTCATTTAAAAGTTTTAATTATTAATGGCAAATTACTACGGATATGATAACGGCGTGAAGGTTTAGGACTTTCCATCATTTTATCGGCGATAAAGGCGAACCTGGTATCACGTGTATTTGAGATGTTATGCAACGACACGTGACACTACACAACATCACGTGTGCTCCTTAAAAGGGTCATATCGTTAAATATATAGGTTTACATGCTACTAATGACCTAAAAGGGTGTTTAGCACAGTTTTAGACTCCTCACAATTTCTAATATCTAAAAATTTAGTGACACTTTTCCTAGTCGTTAAGAGTCCACGTGGAGCCTATTGTTCACTTAAATCGCACTTCCTTTGCACGCTTTGTCAATTGACGATTGCAAGACGAATGCTTGCATCTTGCGCAGAATCAATAAAAACTGTGTTTACTTGTAGGTTGCACGCATTAGTAAAAGGGCCTCGTAAACCTAACTTACCCCGAAAACGCTTACTCATTATTCGCTTTGGCTAACCCTTATCTAAACGCGATCATTTCCTAAATACGCATCTGTTAAAATATCACTTACGATTCCAAACAGTGCCCAGCAGTGAGCACCCACTGCTCATCAATGATGGAGCCTCCACACCAGTGCTTAGCATTCCTGGAGATGGCCACGTTGTACGGGTACATACTGACGCTGGTCTCCATGCCACCCACGATACGACGCACTGCATACGACCGGAATGCCCAAGCTATGTGGCGTTCATCGTGATTCTCAGGAAAGACTAGGAAAGCATAAATTTCAATAGGTTATTAGGGTTTTATCAAATCTAATAATTACTATTAATCCTAACTAATCCTAACTAATATTATAAATGCGAAAGTAACTCTGTCTGTCTGTCTGTCTGCTACTCTTTCACGCCAAAACTACTGAACGGATTTGAATGAAATTTGGTATACAGATATTCTAGACCCCGAGATAAAACATAGGCTACTTTTTATCGCGAAAAAGGGGTTGTTGTAAGAATAATTATTACGATTTATCTGAAAACCTGAAAACGGATATCTGACCGGTAACATTACTATGGTAACCAACCTGATGATTTGTAATTGTTATGACGTCCTACTTTCATAATATATTTTGGCATCAACATATAAAAATGAAGTTCTGTGGGTTTTCAAGGAATAATATTAGTATTCAGCTGCATCAGGGATCAGGGATTTTAAAGACAAAATACGAATTCAATTGACTGAATACAATTTATTCATAGACTAGCCTCTGTCTGCGGCTTCTCTCGCGTTCTTTTAATGGGGTGAGGGAAGGATTTACAATAAAAAATGAAATGATGCACGATTCTATGCTGGTCACAAATAACCCGCATACCAATTGTTAGCTTTCCACATTGAAAATTGCAAAATACCCCATACAAACTTTCACCTCTGTTTCACGGAAGTGGAAGGGGGTTAAAAAAAGACAAAAAGTAGCCTATGATACTCTCCATCTTTTCAACTATCTCAAATCAAAAACCTTCCTGACTCCGTTCTGTCGTGAAATACGGACAAACAAACAAACAAGCACATACAAATTTATATTATTAGTATACATTTCTTAAGTCATCTGACATTTGTGTGACAAGTGAGTTTACAAAGTCAATGTGTCATAGATTTTTTTTATACTATGGTATTAATATTAAGGTATGCAAAGAGGTTGACAGCAGTCTAAGGAGATAAAACCACGAATAAAATATTTTCAGTTTACTTGAATTCGTATTTTTTATATGTATATCAAAAAAACTAGCTAAATGCACATAGCTAAAAAATAATATTAGTCCTTTTCATTTTAGACCGTCAAGGCCAAATTCACTATGATAGTTTGCTGTTTGTTTATGGCATAAGCCGGTAAACGAGCAGACGGATCACTGCGCCGCCCATGGACATCTGTAACACCAGAAGTGCTAGAAGTGCGTTACCGGTCTTTTGGGAATTGGTAATTTGAGGATTGTTAGGGATTGGGGGGGCTGGGGGAGGGGTAATTGGGCCTCCGGTAACCTCACTTACACAGCGAAACACTCCTTTAGGTAACCGAGGGCTGGGCTCGCTGTCATTGCAGCGGAAAGTCCCCTCTTTAAAAGTGGCTTTAGAGAGGCCATCAATGCAAGGACCGCCCGGAGAACACGGTGGAGCATACCGTGGCGGTGTACCTTGCATGGGCTGAGCACCGCCGTGTTCTCAGGGATGTAGGAAACGGTGACCTCTCGCGTTCGGCTCTGGTTCAGGCCATGGAGCGAGGGGGATTGGGATGCAGTCGCATCCTTCTGCGAAGCAGTTATGCTTGCCAAGGAGAAAGCGGAGCGTGTGAGGGAATGAACTTCCTCACGCCCCAGCCGTCGCGGGAGACACTCTCACCGGGCCACCGTAAGTGCGGGTCTGTAGACGAGAGCAAGGGTAGCTCGCCACCCGACCAGAACCAGTCCCGTGCATACGGCGCGCGCCTTACAGAGCCATGACACCATCATAGATGGAGCCCAGTAGGGCTGATGCTCGATACGGTGCCGCGGGAGGCCTAACGAGTTGACGGGGCTCCGGCTCGACGAGCAGGAGTAGGAACGGAGTGGATTTTAGTCAGTAAGAATCTGTCACTCCCTCTCACCTAACCCAAGGCGGGAGAAGTGATTGGATGATTTTCCGACCTCAAAAAAATCTCCTTTAGGTAATGACAACCCGATGTGTGAAAAACTACCAAAAAAACTCCTTATATTACTGGTATTGAGTACGCTGTGGAAATTATGGACAATAGAGCCAAGGGATGTATTAAGTCTTATAGAGGACATTAATATCAACATTAAAGTACATGTATCATATGTAACTAACCTAATATCAGAATACCTATTTTTTCATTTAAATGTTTGCGATAGTAACGCACGTCGCACCGGTACATATCAGGTCACATTATAGGAGAGAGGAAATCCCAAAATGACGGAAACTATGCGCTAAAAAACCAGGACCAAGGACGTTGAAATAAAGAGGGGCTCTTACCTTTTAAACCATTGAACCTATTTGGTGAAATTCGGCGCAGCGTTTGAGACCCGGGAAAGGACATCTAAAAGTTTTTAACCCGAAAAACCCACGAAACCGGGAACTGTGCTGTTAAAATCACTATATCTATTTGATTGAAATGCGATACAACATTGATTTGCAAACATAGAATAGTGAAACTTCACGAGACGGGCACTATACGGGTAAAACCTCTATGGGATTGTTTATTTTAGAAACCACGAAAATAAATTCATTTCTCAATAAATATAATCTAGGTACTGAATCGATTGTGATGATATTTGTTCCAGTTGTACAGCCATAGAATATACCTTGACAAAGACTAATTTAAAAAACCCAATTTATACAGAAGTCGTTATTTCACGCGGACGAAGTCGCGGGTAACAGCTAGTTCAGAATAACTGGTAAAAATGTGGTTAATCAAAATTTTGAGAGCATCAAAAGATATGATATCAGTCAGTTGGAATTAATTCAAAGTTAAATAAAGTAGGTACTAGGATAGCAGAAAATAGAAAGACCTGCAGTCCATTATAGGTGAAAAAGTTATAAAGGATCAGCCGCTCTTATCTAATTTTTTGCGTTATTTACAGTATTACTCACATGTTTGGTTGAAGTCTGATTCGCTCTCTCGCCGCATGAGGATCTCATGGAATTCGGGTGTTTTCGAGTCCAAAACTGGGCGGGTAAACCCGAAACAAACATGTGAGTAAGACCGTTGAAAATAATGGAAGTATAGATAAATGTAAAAATGCAAAAAAAACCTAGTAGCGAGACACAAGAAATAAAAATATTGCATTTAATGAAGGTTAATATCATAATGAAACATTTCTTCTCATATATCTATTACTTACTAGATTCTGAATTTTGCTTCTACCCGCATTTCCGTGGGATAAATAGCCTGCCGTGTTTTAACCCTATTCTAACTTTCATCCCGATCCCATCATCAGCAGATTTGACGTGAAATATACAAACTTTCGCATTTATACTACTTTTATTGGAATACAAATTATTTCACAAACCTGGAAATTGTCCTCTCTCCTCTTTTGTCACCTTAAACCTCGTGGACGTCTCATCATTCTTAAACTTATACTTCTCTTCTAACAAAGCTTTAATATCTTCTTCTTTGTCATAATCATCTTTCTGTTTTACAATGGTTTCTTGTACTTTGAATTTCGGCTGTTCATTATTATATTGGTTTTGACTATCCACAGCTTCTTCATCATTGTTAAATAGTTGACCGTCGTCCGCGGATAAATCTGTTGCTGCTATCCTAATAACATTGTTCACAACTATTGAAATAAAAACAGTTCTAATTATACCTACGTTAATACGTATAACCATTTTTGTTTCATCTTAAATATTAATTCCAAGTTTTTGATTTCCTTTGGTAATGAGTTTCCATGCACTTCGATAACATGTTTTATGCTTGCATTTTATGACTGCGTCGTAAAGACAGATGGAATTTTTAAGCAAATTATTTGGTCGCGTGTCGTACAGTTTTGGACAGTTCAGTCTTCTTACAGTTGTGTAGAGAGCTATTCATTAATATTCCGTTTTATTAACTACTTGGGAGATCAACATTGATTCGTGTCCAGAGCTACGTCTTCAAATAATCTCTGGCTAAAAATAATCTTGGTTAGTAAATGGAAATTCATAAAACCACCCAATAAAATGTAAATGTTCGATGAAATAAATAAAAGGAACAATAAAATTGTATAAAGTAAATCATGTTTTCGCTTAAACATAAACATGAAATGTATGTACCTAGAACTCTCTGAGTTTGGTTGTTACGTATTTTATTTAACTCCTTTGGGTTTAGTGCATATTCGAATTTAGCTGAAACAGAAGAGAGCTTGCTTTTACGTTTGTTTTGCAATCTAGTATTTAATATTTATAGATATCGGAAACTATTGCTAACTGTTGTTTCGCTTTATCTATTAATGGGAGACCCATGCTTCGGCATGAATGGACCAGCTCGACCGGAGTAATATTACGGTCTCAACGAAAGCGAAAACAATGCTCGCTTTGTGTTTCGTCGTGTGAGTGAAATTATCAGATGCCCAACCCTCTCCCAGCCCCTTCAGAAACTCCCCAATTCCTAAATCTCTAACAATCCTCAAACTCTTAATCCCCTAAAAGCCGATAACGCACTTGCAATGCCTCTGGTGTTCCAGGTGTCCATGGACGACGCCAATTGCTTACCATCAGGTGATCCGTCGGCTCGTTAACCGGCTTATCCTATAAAAAACGACTTATTCATGAGTTACAAAATCAAAACAATATGAAGGACTTTCTAATAACAATGTCTCTATAAATATCGTAGAAACTAGTAAATAATTCAATAATTACAGGAAGTTTGTCGGTATGTTGGACGTTAAAACGACTGTCCAATTGCCCAAAATCAATACAATAGTTTATTTATTTTCATATCGGTCCTATTTTTGTACCAGGCATGTAGGAGTTCGAAGTGATATTGATTCACGTTATACGTCATGAATTTAACTAGGTAAGTAGATAAGGACAATGTACCTACATGTGACTAGATTTGTGTATTCAATTTGAAAGAGGCAATGATGGGAAAAGTTACCTTTTAATTTTCATAATGGCTTTTTGACGCACAGCTCATTTACTTTTTTATACTGATCTTAGATAAATAAAGACTTACCCTTTCATTAACATTTCATACTTATATCGTTGACCTAAGCTTTAAATGTTGTCTTTTTATGACTTGGATATTTTATCAGAAGTATATCGTATGTCGAATTGATAATCTATATATATAAAAGAAAGTCGTGTTAGTTACACCACTTATAACTCAAGAACGGCAGAATAGATTTGGCTGGAAATTGGTAGGGAGGTAGCTTAGAGCCAGGAGACCGACATAGGATACTTTTTAACCAACATTGTTTTTTTACTTTTTACCGAAAATCACGAACGGGGACAGGAAAAATTGGATTATGCGTACGAAGTCGCGGGCAGAAGCTAGTAGCAAATTAAACTAAAAACGATAAATTAAACAGTTAAATTAATGTAAAATAGCTACAAATACGTTAATAATAATCCACGTGTTACGTACAGTGCTACTAGGACCACATCACAGTGGAACCAGTAATAAAAGTTTACAGCTAACACGTGCTACCAACTGCTTTATGATTTCTTAGTACAAGGACACATATTTTACGTTTAGAGTGAGTTCGCGATTCTGACTGTATACAGTCAGTGCTTTGGCTATATCACAAACTGCTGGAAGATCTGTCGTAGGCTTAATTTGTGGGTTGAGTATGTGACCGTCATCGTCATGACCATCTCACAATTTCGAGCCACTATAGTTACATCCTTCGTATTTTCCAGTGAAAGAAACCTTAACCAGTAACTGCATGTCGCTTGTAATTAATTCATCATCATCAACAGCCTATAAATGCCCACTGCTGAGTAAAGCCTCTTCTCACACGGAGAAGGTTTGACCATTATTCACCACGGTTGCTGAATGCGGGTTGGTGATTTCAAACTAATAATTTGAAATAATAAGTCTAAGTTTCCTCACAATGTTTTCCTTCACCGTTTGTCAGTGGTGTCTAAATAATCTTAGAAAGTACATATAACTCGGAAAAAGTCACATTGGTATTTGCCGTTGGTAGGTTTCGAACCCACACCCTCATGCATGAGAAGTCTTAAACCTCCGGGTCACCACGACACCAAATTATGGTTTAATTGAAATAAATGACTCGACTGCCTCGTTGGCCGAGTGGTCGCAAGTGCGACTGCCAGGCAAGGGGTCTCGAGTTCGATTCCCGGGTCGGGCAAAGTATTACTGGGTTTTAAAAAAAATCTCAGTAGTAGCACGGAGTCTGGAATTGTGCCCGGTATATGGCAATAGGCTCACCCCCTATTACATGGGACTCATAACATAAATAGTGAAAAGTGGGTGTTACATTGTACAGTGGCATAATGTGCACCTCTGCCTACCCCTTCGGGGATAAAAGGCGTGATGTTATGTAATGTGTATGTGAAATAAATGACTTTTAATACTAATAACTGTAAATAGCAATTATTTTTTACAGTTGAGAATTAACTGATGATTGAAAGATCGGCCCGTGTGGTATCCTTTTGCGCGTGGATACCTGATGCGGGCTGATGATTTAGAAAACAGTATTTATCCTTGAAAAAATAAATGTACCGTACCATAAAGGTTTATAAAATAAACATGTATGTATTTCATAATCAGACATATGTCATCATGACCATTCATTGTCATTCGTTTTTGTTTACAATGTTTTGAGTATTTATTTTGGTACAATAATTTCAATTCTATGACCAACAGTGTTGCCCTGGTGGTAGCTTTTTCATTTCTCATGAATGACATACATTTTGTTATTGACTGTGAGTATATTTAGACTTCATGTAAAGATAACAGTTTTCTAATCGTTATTTAGCCAACGGTAGGTGCTATTTGCTCGCAATACCTGCAGTAAATAAATGGTTTTTACAACAACATAAGCATAAGGCTATAAGTGGTCACCACAACTGGCTAACCAAAGGCCTCTTCTCACACGGAGAAATATATTATAAATCGCCACGCTTGCTCAATGCGAGTTGGCGATTTCAAACTTATAATTAGAAATTTTAAGTCCACGTTTTCCCACGATGTTTTCTTTCACTGTTTATCTGTGGTGTCTAAATAATCATGGAGAGGACATTATAACTCGGAAAAAATCACTCATCAAAAATCATGGTTTCGAACTCGCACCCTTATATCTTAAACCTCCGGGCCACCATGACTCATAATGGTTTATTCAGTCATAATAAAATATAGTCTACCTCTGTGCCAATGGTTATACCCTCTCCTGAAGGGTATTACCTACCTGGGCGTCTTCAAAGCCCGAGTGAATAGATTGTTTATGGGTCGACGTGCTCCATCGTAGACCGCATCATCGCTTACCACCAGGCGAGATGTAGTGAAACGTCGACCCATCAAAATATGTATAGTAAATAAAAAAATGTTTATATTCCATCGAGATTCTGTGACATGATTAAAATCTCTAAAACATGCAACATGCATTATAATATATCTTCGATTTTCTCTTTCAGCTGGTATACTTCGAAACAAACACTTCACATCGAACTTAGTCTATTTATTGAGCGTATGCCTCCTTCTTCGCAAGATTAGTTTGATTCCTGGCATCATATCTAAGAAATGGCCCCTTACATGTTTGATAACAGAGGTAAGTTTAAAAGAATTACTTTTTTGTTTTTAATATGTAAGATTGAACTGTAAAGTTATTCGTGTATTTTTCTTTTAGATACCACTATCAATAATCATACTAGAAGGATTTCTATTCTACTTTTGGAAACCCGTTCAAGACTATTTACTCCTACACGCCGATAGCATCCTAGTACATTTGGCTGAGGAAAGAAGTTTGGACTGGCTCGTCTGTCACCTGTGTTGTGGACACAGTAGCTGCGCTGATATTTTTGCAGACTTAATACTAAAGTTTTTGAGCTTTGTCATTCTGTTTTCTGTTTGCCTTATTACAGCCAAACATATATGATATTGTTTTAAATTGAAATTGATGAACACAAAATAACACCTTTGTTTTTATTTATAGGGACTGATTTAATGTATGTGAGCGTTTCGTTAAAGTTTTTAGTTACTACTTCTGCTATCCTAGTATTTTAGTCAATGATAAAAATATGAAAGAAATATATAAAGATTGCGTCATTTAAAATGCTGTCTGTACTACTTATAAAAATATCAAAACACGCTTGATTGCATAGTTTTATTTTCTATTTAAACTTAACATCTAATGAATCCTGAGTCTGAAAGCGAAATTTACATTCAACGCCCATTCATTCCGTCTTTACGGCTGACTAATTTCCCGTCTCGTCATCAAGATGAATTAAATGTGAAAATTAAGGAACATTCTTGGAAAATTCATTTCATATTCTTTGAGATTGAAAACTAGAGTGGTAGAGTATACTAGTGAAATCGTGTTTACCGAAGTTTATTATCAATATATACCCTAAAACGATAGGCAGGAAAAAAGTATCTACTTATTTTTCCTTAAATTGTTACCGTTTTATCATACATCTAAAAACGAAACCCGAATAGTGTTAATTAGTAGTGCCACTAAACTGACGAGATTGTGTGCAATACACCAGGAACAAACAATACCCGCACCAAACAATACTAAGAACGCGTCAAAGCAGCGCGTCGCTCGTTTCAAACTATAGGAAGCTACGTACCAGAGCATCATAAAAGCCCTGTAGCGTAGCGGAAATTGACGTAGTAACGCGACACTGGGTGGGCCCTTGTCAATTAGTATTATGAGGCGCATTCTCTTGGTTTACAATATCATAACACTATACAAATGTTATGGGGTCCTGGTATTGAAAAGATTACTTGAAACAAATATCGTACTGACAAGCATCTCACAAAACTGTTTAAATATATATCAAAATTTGAAAAATAGTAACTAAGTAAAACTCGTTAATGTTTCCATATTTTAATTATGATACCACGGCCTCACAGAAAACCGACGAGAAGCAACGCTTGTGTTGTGTTTCGTCGTGTGAGTGAGGTTACCGGAGGCCCAATTACCCTCCCCTTCCCCAATCCCTGAATCCCCAACGATCCTCAAACTCCTAATCCCCAAAAGGCCGGTAACGCACTTGTAACGCCTATGGTGTTCCAGGTGTCCATGGGCGACGCCATCAGGTAATCCGTCTGCTCGTTTACCGGCTTATGACATAAAAAAAAATTCTTAATTTTTGTTATTTGTAAGTGCACATCTTTGAAACTCCTGTACGGATTTTCAAGTAATTGTCAGTGCTAGACGTACTAAAATTGAGATGGTTTCTTTGTTTAAGATCACGTTTTGCTGAATAACTTTGCATTTATTCCAACAAAATGTTAGTTTTGCGCACTAATAATTTTACCAAATCCAGTAATATAGGTACACGCTGTGTTTATCTTAACTTCGGATTGTCAACAAAATGCAAATGGCGGACAAAATACGGTTCATTGTCGAACTCTCAAACAATTTCAGGCAACAAATGAAACTGGGCAAAATCTCCGGTCCAATCCCAATGGTACAAAGTCATTAGATATTGGGATTTTCAATTTCAAAATTCACAATAGTAGTACAGAATCGTGGTTCTATGACAATGAACTCAGAGGAATTCAAAGAAAAATAAATAAATTAAAACTACGATGAAAATGTCCGCTGGCGATTAAACAACTATTTGATTAAGGTAAAATAAGTTAGTTATTTGATAACCCTCGTTTATTTATCTAAGATGTTGCGTCTTTTAGATTTTTTTAAGGGACGGAAATCATCGAATTACTGTTCCCGCCTGGGTGAGGCGGGAGGGAGTGTCAGACTCTTACTACTAAAAACCACCCCGTTCCTTCTACTGCACGTCGAGCCGGAGCCCCGGTAACCCGTTAGGCCCCATCAGATACAGGTCCAGAAACTTCCATCTCCGGTGAGGACCTGCGTCAGGCGGTAGGTGAGGACGCCGCAGCGTCTCTCAAGCCACTCCTCAAAGAGGAGACTTACCGCTGCAATGGCAGCGAGTCCATGCGTCTTTAGATTAGACTTAAGTATTTAATGTATATATAAGTTGTCTTTGAAAACAATTACCCACCTCTCCAATCTCTTCAGTCCCCGAATTCCCAACAATCCTCAAATTCTTAATCCCCAATAGGTCGGTAACGCACTTGTAACACCTCTGGTGTATCGGGTGTCTATGGGCAGCGCCGATTACTTGCTATCAGGTGATCCGTCTGCTCGTTAACCGGCTTATTGCATAAAAAAACCATTATATTGTACCGAAACAAACTCAACCCAACTACGAAAACTGCATGAAAATTCGTTCAGTACTTTCGAAGAATTAGTGGACCAATAGGCAAACTAACACATTTTGTATATAAATAGTTGAGGAAAAATTTAATAAACAGCATCTCTAGCACATGCTGACGTTCGGCGCTCTGATTGGTTGGTTCATTGGCGCCGGCCAATCAGAGTGCCAAACGCGTACTCGTTTCGAATACTTTAAACGTAAATCAAACTCGTACTAAGGCCTTATTATTTTTTTTATGACGGGGGAAACTTTCAAAAGGCGCTCAGTCTTTTTGGGGATAAAAGACTAGGGAGTGTGGGATTTTTACCTCACTAAAACCACCCCGGTGGCCACCCTCAACACCTGAAAGGAGGCACCGGGTCCTCTAAAAGAGACCTGCTCCGGCGCCTCCACGGTGCAACGCCTGTTACGACACATCCCTAGGGAGACGGGTGTCTCCTTTAAGCCTTGCTGTCTACGGCGGCACGTGACCACTGTACCATCGTCTTCCCTGAGACCACAGGATGGGCACCTAGAGTCTCCACTCTACGCACCCAGCGTACTAAGGCCTCTGGTCGTGGTGGTCAATTCACCGCAGACTTGGGACATTAACATGTATCCATCAGTACCTATTAATACAATGACATATGTACATGTGACTTTTTTAGCGTGTGAAATATTTTTTTCTTTCTCTTTCTTTGTTTCATCATTCAATAATTTATTTTATGTTGTCAATGAAATATACACTTAATTGTATTCCCAAACAATTGCTTTTAACTTACTCAATTACTTCATAAAAGGTTCTCCGTTAATGAAATAAAAGTATATATTTACTGTTCTAAGAACTAAGAATATAAAATACGTACAAAAATAAAATCACTTTTAGTACTCGCCCAAATATATTTAGGCAAAGGTTCACGTTTGGTATTAAAAAAGCAATATAACTGTTCCTTTCTAATCGAAGCTGAAATTTTTCTTTTTTTTCCTTTGGCAAATGTTTCTCTCACTTGTGACGAACAATATAGTTTCTGAACTTTTTGAATAAATATGTATAAAGTACAGAAATTGTTTTTTATTACTATCGGTAGCTATAAATCTTACGGCTCACCTGATGGCAAGCAGTCAATGTACCCTAAGTACACCTCGACTCGGGGCTGTGTGGCCTTAGGGGTTACCAGGGCTCCAGCTCGAAGTAGAAGTATAATATAACTATATTACGGCTTTATCTGTCTGCTACTGCGACATACAAAGGAACGGGGTTGGTTTTCAGTCAGTTAGAATCTGACAGTCAAAGCGGGAAAAGCCATTGACCCCTCAATAGAAGCCTAAGTACGAGTGAATTACCGTCTTACCGACTATGGATATAGAATTTATATTCCATAATTTTCGGGAAGTTGACAACAAAGAAATCACCATTTACGAAGTTCAAACATTGGCAGTTCAGTGTCACTGTAGACGAGCAATTTAAAAAAAGTCTATCGATGCCGTCAATCAAACAAGTTTCTAAAACAACCGATCAAACCTATATGGGTCAGTCGCAAACAAACCAACCTTTAAATATACCCCATAACACCTTTATACTATTCATTTTAAAGTCCTATTTTGTGTAACCTAACTGTGAATAGGTATTTGTTTTCGCAGCATCCAACGTAACTCGACGAAGATGGGTCGGCTCTCTCTGTGAGGTAATTGTGTAAGTGTGAGTGACAATTTATATTGGACGGATAATAGGAGCCTTTGCTTCGTATATTCGGGTTGTTGTTCACAAAATGATTCCTAACTTTTCGGGGAAATTCTCCCGAGAGGATTGAGCGCTCATTTTGGTTTAGAACCATTTCTAAGATATGCTGTTATTTTTACTCTGATAAAGTACAAATGGTTTATGAGACGCGCTTTTAAGTAAATTAATAAAACAAAATCAATTATTAACCAAACATTATTTTGTTTGTATTTTTTTTCAGGCTGAAGCTGATCAATTACAACTGATTGAACCGATACTAATTAGTATAGACAAGATGGAAGAAAAATCACGTAAAACAAGATTTTGTAGTAGTTGTCCTATCCAAAAATCAATCAGTATTCTTTTATTTAATGAACATATTTCCTCCAAGTAAATTCTCAATACTAACCTTTTTACATGTCTTATTCATAAAGCAATAGAGTCGCAATTTCGTCAACCAAATGACAAGAATAAAGTACGTACAGATTTAAACATATTCCATTTCCCACTTAACCTTTGCAATACATTTTATTACGTCCTAAGTAACTAAGTAGCCTACTTAAGGACCGACTTCAGTGAAGTGTTAAAAATGAATGAATATTTGACGTAGTTAGTCAGTTTAGAGTGGCAACCCCACACAAACTGTTGCTGGGCGGCAAGTCACTCGTTCCCGCCTACCAATGGAAATAACGGTATGTCTATAGAGTGGTCGTTTCGAGTTTCATATTGTATTTTAGTCTGCTTAAAATAAGAATGGCTGAGCCTCATTCCGAACCCAAACCAAGCATTGAAACCACAGAGTACATTAAATATACTGGTAATTGGTAATAACGCCACTGGCTTTGAAATTCTGTTATGGTGTAAAAATATTCTTAGTTATCTGTTTAGTGATTAAAAAGTCTACCTTGTTAGCAATTGCTAGTGGCTATGGCATTTGACCTCATGTGACTTGCTCCAACCTACATAACGAATTTTATAAAGAAGTTGCTGAATACTGACCGCGTGCAATTACCGTGTAAATTGTAATTGAATCACAGAATATGAAGGTCATTATTATTTTTGTTTGATTTAGTCCCTGTGACACTTTAGTAAAAGAATACAAACATGATTATCTTATACACAAGTTTTTTTAACCAGTTTCATTTTATTTAGCTAATGGTAGATAATTATGGTGTATGGTATTAACAGCTCTATATCCACCTAGACAACCCCTAACTAACCAACAGGCGACAGTGTGCCCCCGACCGTGCGATCGCTAACACGCGTACCAGGACGGCAGCAACGCGCGGGAGATGCACAGGTACGATAATATTAACATTTTTATTTACTTTTTAATAAACAACCAAAAATATCTCGCCTTGAATTTTACTTTAATCTAAATATTAAATTACTAGGCTGACATAAATTGATACATTAAGTATCGCAAATAGAGTATGATCTTGATGAATGTCTCGCTGAAAATTGAGATGAATTGTGTTAATATATTTCCTTTTATTCGCATTTATTCTTTTACTTTATGTGGCCTTAGTACGGAAAGTGAAAATTGTATTGTGATTCTAAAATATTTGATGGAAATGGAAGTTGTGTGTATCCAATCATTTCTTATAATGCAGTTATGCAAATAACTTTAGATCGATGGAAGTTTTATAGGAACCTTCGATTGTGGACTAAAATTGAACCATTGTTTACTGAGATATGGAATTGAACATAACCTTTAACCTTTTGCAACACGCTCACTGTGATAAAATCGTTGGTAACATGTTATTCAAGAAACATACGAACGATTTTAATTTGTAATACGAATAATTTTCTTCGAAATACACAGAGTATCTACACATACATAATACATGAGTACTTGATGTCTATGTTTAGAATATAATAATGGTAATCAAGATCCTAATTGAGTATTATCTGTATGTCTGTCAGTCTGTGTATAAAGATTTACGTGAAAACTGCTGGATATAATTGTATGGGATATGCTTTTACACGTGATGAATACTATGTTGGACTAAAGACTAGCTATTTAATAAACTGCAGACAAAAACGATCGACTTATCAGATGATATCACAATAAAAGAAACGAAGAAGTTATTGTATAAAACTATCTTTTTTAAAAGAAACCTTATGCTGTATTTACAATACCGGTATTAAAGACAATACATTTATTTAATTTTACTACTACTAGAACGATTTAAAAAAACCCCTTTCTTCTGCAAAGTCTTTCTTATCAATGGTACTGTTGCTTTATTTATGCTTTAAAATATATAACATAACATCACGCCTTTTATCCCCGAAGAGGTAGGCAGAGGTGTACATTATGCCACTGTACACTGTTACACCCACTTTTCACTATTTATGTTTTGAGTCCCATGTAATAGGGGGTGAGCCTATTGCCATATACCGGGCACATTTCCAGACTCCGTGTTACTTCTGAATATTTATAAAAAAACCGGTAGTACTTTGCCCGACCCGGGAATCGAACCCGAGACCTCTTGCCCGGTATTCGCACTTGCGACCACCAACGAGGCAGTCTTTGTTCAGTTAGTGCTTTAAAATAGAATGCTAAAAACTAAAATCAAATAAGAAGTAAAAACTAAAAAGCAAAAAATAACTATTATTAGCACTGATAGGTTACCCAACATAAGTTCTAAGCAAAATTATTAATATAAAACCTTAATAGATACTTAATATTAAGCTGTTGACAATTTTGTGACCATTAAGTTATATCATTTTGATATGAGCATTCATGATTCATGATTCGCAAACATGCTTGAAATAAGCATGCTAATTTTGTCTGACTGAAAGTGCTCAATTGAAGCATGCTTTCGTCCTTGGAATTAGCATGTGTAACAGTACCTCTTTATATTGATACTAGCTGTTGCCCACGACTTCGTCCGCGTGGAATTGTGACTCACAGCTCCTCCCCCGTAGATAATAGTGTGATAATATGTAGCCTATATGTTGACCCGACCTATTAGTAATATTCATGCGAAATTTGAAGTAAATCCATGTAGTACTTTTGGAGATCATCCCGGACATAATACAGATAAACAGACAAAAATTCTAAAAACCATATTTTTGACTTCAGTATCGATTGTAGATCACGCCTCAAGTATACTTCTTAAAAAGTATTCAATGTACAGTTTGACTTTTCTACGATTTTATTAAATGTATCTAGACATAGTTGAGAGAAACCTAAGATCCAGGTGAGCTAAACCGTAGGTGGGACGCTTTATTGATTTCAAGAACTTGTATTTAACCCTATATAAAGCAGTTGCGCTATGTAGAATTCTGCCATGTACACAAATAAAATAAAAGTTTTAAAATTCAGAACCGATCCGAAACTAGTTAGTATAGGACGACGGCGACGAGAGAAAAAAGTTAAGCAAATAAATCGCATTTGAATTTTAGTTAGGAGTTAGTATGCTCGGGAAACTCAAGGAAGGAGTTTTAAGTGTGGGAGAGCCATGCTTCGGCACGAATGGGCCGGCTCAACCGGAGTGATACCACGGCCGAGCAGAAGACCGACGTGAAACAACGCTTGCATTGTGTTTCGTCGTGTGAGTGAGGTTGTCGGAGGCCCAATTACTATATATAGTATATCGTCACTCCACCTAGCTGGAGGGCGCCCTACACTACGTTTGCCTAGACGCGGTCTCCACTCCAGAACACGCCTACCCCAGCGGTCATCGGTTCTTCGACAAATATCACCGGCCCACTGCCATTTCAGCTTGCTAATCCTTTGCTAATTCAGATACTCAGTACTCAAATACTCAATAGGCTGCGCGACATCGCCGCGACTCCACACGCTGCTCATGAGGAAGAGCCCCTCTGTGCCTCGAAACTAGTAGAAATTTTTTCAGTATATTCACTTGAGTAACTCTTATATGTCTCACGATAGTTATTATAAAAACATAATGTAACTTGCTTTTATACAATTTTAATCCTTATTGTATTGTACTCGGGACTTGCGTCCTTTGAATTTTTACTAAACGGCACGGCAACGGTGCGTAAGCTGATGACAGAAATAACGAATTGATATGGAAATATAATAACTTAATTAAATAAACATACATAACGCGATTTTTTAGTTAATTTATTGTCTCACGATAGATATTACAAAAATATCTCCATATCATTTCAACATCGACCGATTGGAATCGACTTGCATTCAACGGCTCCCTTCGCCCTTAGATCATTATTAACGCTTATCTCATACCACATTAATTTATCATTAACTTAGAAGGTAATCTTTAATACCTCATACACGTCCTTTTACATCAACAGCCTATAAATACCCGCTGCTGAGCAAAGCCTCTTCTCACACGAAGAACGTTTGAGCATTAATCACCACGCTTGCTACATGCGGGTTGGCGATTTCAAACTTATAATTAGAAATTATAAGCCCACGTTCCCTCACGATGTTTTCCTTCATCGTTTGTCAGTGGTGTCAAGATAATCTTAGAAAGAACATATAACTCGGAAAAAGTCACATTGGTACTTGCCGTTGGTAGGTTTTGAACCCGCATCCTCATATATGAGAAGCGGGCGTCTTAAACTTCCGGGCCACCACGACTACACACATACACACACACACCGTTTGTCAGTGGTGTCTAAATAATCTTAGAAAGTACATAACTAGAACTAGGAAAATGTCATATTGGTACTTTTGATCACCGTAAACTCTTTGAATTAATATATCTTCTTATGTTTTAAGTGTGGGAGAGCCATGCTTCGGCACGAATGGGCCGGCTCGATCGCAATGATACCACGGCCTCACAGAACACCGACGTGAAGCAACGCGTTGTGTTTCGTCGTGTGAGTGAGGTTACCGGAGGCCCAATTACCTTCCCCTTCACCAATCTCCCCAATCCCTGAATCCCCAACGATCCTCAAACTCCTAATCCCCAAAAAGCCGGTGACGCACTTGTAACGCCTCTGGTGTTCCAGGTGTCTATGGGCGACGCCGATTGCTTACCATCAGGTGATCCGTCTGCTGGTTTACCGGCTTATGCCATAAAAAAAATTAAAGCTAAATAATTTATTTCAAGTAATCCTTATTTAGGCACTTTTTTGTCTGTCAGGCTGTCTGTCAGTGAAACTAGGTGCTCATTCCAAGGTACAGGTGGTCTATGAAGCATAATTGCCTCATTGGCCGAGTGGTTGCAAGTGCCACTGCCGGGGAAGGGGTTCGGGTTCGATTCTCGGGTCCGTCAAAGTATATCAGGTTTATAAAAAAATCTCAGTAGTAACAAAGAGTCTGGAAATGTGTTCGATATATGGCAATTGGCTCATCCCTATTACATGGGACTCGTAACATAAAATAGTGAAAAGTAGGTGTTACATTGTACAGTGCCATTAAGTACCGTAATGAGCACCTCTGCCTACCCCTTAGGGGATAAAGGCGTGATGTCATGTATCGTTATGTTACATTTATTTATTTAATTACCATTACTTTGTCATTACACATAACTTAACCTAATTCGACATAGGAACTTAAAGTATGTTTCCTAAACTATAAACTATATTTAACTATAAACTTATTAAAATTTTAACATAACTATATTATTTACAAGAATTGCTCCTTTAAAGATATTAGACTAATACTCACGACTATAAAAACCTATTTACTTGTCTGTCCAATCTATATATATATACCTAAAGAAAGTCGTATTAGTTACACCACTTATAACTCAAGAACGGCAGAATAGATTTGGCTGAAAATTGGTAGGGAGGTAGCTTAGAGCCAGTAGACCGACATAGGATACTTTTTAAACAACTTTTTTTTTACTTTTTACCGAAAATCACGAACGGGGACGGGAACAAATGGGATTACGCGTACGAAGTCGCGGGCAGAAGCTAGTAAATAAATAAATAGTAGGTTACCTACCATCTAAATAAGTACTACAAGCAAAAATTTGCATTTAAAACAATTGTCTGAAATAGTGAAAGAGACCCTTGTCAATATTGTTGTATGTTCGGCCGATAGTATTTTATTTCAAACATACGATCCCACCACTACCAACAATATACATAGGTGGTGCCAAAAATAAACATTGTATTTGATCAAGTGACCCGTGGGGTTTAGTTTGGTTCTGTTTACATTTGATCTCGCAGGACAAAATGTATTTATTTGTTTACTGTGTTCTGTTTCGGGTTGTGATTATGGAATATGTTTATATTTCATTGTGTTTGCTGATTGGGTTGTTTCGTATCTGTATTGATTTTCGTATTATTCGGTATTTTCGTCTTGTTTAATTAAGTTATTTAGATAGAACTCCTATTAATATTGTCATTATG